TATAATGTTACCATAGTAACATTGTACTACTTTGGGGAAGTGATCAGTATATTTTTTTTTTACACAACTTGATTACTTATAACAAAGAATTTCTTTGTTTTCTTTGTTTTTTTAAAAAGTGTCAATCATTTCATAGTTCCCCCCCCCCCCCCCTTGTAGTTATTGATGCAACCTGTTAATTTAGCCAATTTGAATACCTGTGTGTGTTTTTGTGTGTGTGCTGGTCTAAAGCTGGCCCTACATAGATGGAAATTTGGCTGGAGTTTTCCCAAATGATTAGTGCCGCCGGCTATAGCCTGCAAGACGAATCTTTGTGTTGTGGCGGGGGGAAGGCTTCTCACTGGCAGAACACAATAGTGCTTCGGGAGGGATTCCCCCATCAACTCTAAATGGGTTGATGGGGGAAACAAACAATTTTCTCTCTTTCTACCTGTGGTAGAAGAAAAGAAAACTGCGTAATCTATGGCCTGCTTAAGACTTCATGGAGCAGTATGGCCAAGCTCTTTTGGCTGTACTTCTTCTATGGATCACAGAAGTGCAGTTCGTTCTGCACTCCTGTGACCTGTTTTCAGCTGACAGTGGCCTAAAGCCTGCTGTCGGCTGACGTCACATAGCCGGTCCAGGCTCCCAAAAGAACCCAATGATATGGTCGGGATCCACCCAGATGCCTGACCAGCAGCTGGCTCAACCTCTCAGCAGCATGCCGCTGAGAGCCTGAGAGCCTTCCCCCTCCACAGCCCAGCGCTCCAGTGAGTGCTGGAGGGGCAGAGTAGAGAGCCGGTGACTGACGGTCACCACTCTCTGCTCACAGAAGACTGAGAACTGAAAGATCAGCGGTCTTTGATAAGTCAGTTCTCAGTCTTAGAAGTGGCAGGGGATAGATGCAGCATCAGACCAATGCTGCATCCACCTAGATGAGAGCATCATTTTTTTAAACCCTGTATTTCTCTTTTAGGATGGCCATATATTATATCATCTTATCGGATCATTTTTCTTTAGATTCACCAAACCATATAATATGAGGTCAAACCTAAAACACTTCCAATTTCTATCCAGTCAGGCAGGCCCTCGCACTACATAGCTGAAGGTAAATCTAGAGGAGATTGTTCAGAAATTGTACAAAAAACTGTAGAATGTATGGCCAGGTTTACAATAGAATAAAGGGTGTCATAGTACAAAGAAGTCCGTGGTAATTATCAAATTCATTATCTTCAACAAGCTAACATTTCTTTGAATTCCTTTTACAAGGATTTGGAAGAGTTCGAAGCAAACCTTGACATGCAAGTGATGAAAATTGCTATCATCGGTAACCAGCCCACCTCAGGATATGACCACAAGACAGCAACCATTCTGGTGGAGGGAACCAAAATCCTGGAGGGATGTAATATTCCAAGGTGCCGTGCTTTGCTGATGGGTATAATATATGCTCTGAATCTGTGCTATCCCAAGGAACTTAAATACACTTTTGAAGTGTTTCAGAAACTGTTCCTTGAACTTGATGGACTGAAAGCCAGTGCAAAAGTAATGGGTCTCAAGCAGGGGCGGACTGACCATTCGGACACTCGGGCACTGCCGAGGGCCCGGGGTCAGTAGGGGGCCCATGAGATGTCCCTGGTACCTTTCATAGGCTTTTTTGGGAGTGGTTTGAGTGTGGGTGAGGACACAGGGGCCCCATGATCCCCTATTGTCCGGGGGCCCCATGAGTTGTCAGTCCGCCCCTGGTCTCAAGTACAGTATTTTCTGAAAACGTACGAGTTCTATAGCGCATTCACACTGTTCTCAGATGACATTTTTCACTTTTATTTCAGTTCACAAAATGGTTGCCACAGGGTAATGCGGAAAGAATATAGCAAATTGTAAGAAAGCTCACAAAATATCAGCTTTCAATATCCACCAATAGCTTCGCTGTATTGCCACCATTTGTTGCAACACATAGCAAAGGTCTGGTAGAGAAACAGTTTCTGCACCAGACAGACAATATAAAAAACAATCTTAATGCAAAGTGCTTACTCATCATCACTACAACTTTGAGGATTTGATTTCGGGGTGAAAAAAAAATGAGTTTGAGTAATGTAACAAATGTTGTCACACACCTAATTAAATCATATAACAGCTTTATAGAACGTTTGGTTATCTACTCTTAAGGCTTCAAGGATCCCTTGAAGGTCTCTCTGGTGCTTTTTTTTTTTTTTCTTTTTTATGTAATGTCACAACTGTGAGGTTGGTTGGTGGATAACAGAGCGGCTCTGGGATATTACCAGTTTTCTATGTTTCTTTGGGTTTTTGTTTACATTTGTTCATTTTGTCCTTTCGCTTCTTTGACCCCATTTGGGGCAAAAAGTATTTCTAACAACATAGTTCTATGTGAATTTGTATTTGATACCTCAGCTCCAACATGACCTTCTAATATTGCTGCTTTCATTGGATTACTTACTAGTAATATTTCCCTTTTTTTTTTTTAGGGATAAGATTGGCCTTTGCGTTTCTTTCTGGCAATTGCCCATTCAGATATGCGCATTATAGGTTTGTTACTGATGCTTGCAAATATATATTCAGGATAATGTTTTGGTATATAAAAATCTTTGTTCTTACTGGCTCCAATCTTATACAATATATTGTGTTTCCCTCCATGTCTAAAGTGACATCACACATAGGTATATATTGTTCTTTGTAAGAGATGGGATGTCATTTGTTATTGATGGTTGATAATGGACGCATGTATACGTACTATGCCATCTGTTGTACTTTACTTTTCTGTAAACTTAATAAGAACATTGAAACATAAAGTGCCAGTTCATTGATGTTTGTTTAATACTTATGTTGGAATACACAACTATTGTGTGCAAAAATGTTCATTGTGTGACAATTGTATTGCTGAGCCTTGGTTCACACAATGAAGTGCAAGTGAATCACGAAGGAACTGCAACACACTCCTGTGCAATTCACATGTGATTCAGTGCAATGCAATCTGAGCCCATTCATTTTGAATGAGCTCAAATCGCACCACATCGCACCAAAGACGTGAATGCAGCGATTTTGGAACCGCAGTGCAACCGGATTGCATGTTTTTGTTTGTACCATGTACCATCTGGTGCAGGCAAATGCACTGCGTTTGCAACCTGCTTTGAAGGTGTCATTAAGAATGCACTGACACCCACTGCGGATTGCAAGGGCAGTGCGATTTGAATGCGGTGCACGTGAAACGCACACGGATTGCAGGTTTTCTGCACCACATTCTAGTGTGAGCCTAAACTGGATGAATTCATTTCTGAAAGCTAGTATAAAAAAACAAAAAAAGGTAAAAACTAATACAGAAAATCAATTTGGACCAACTTGATTTGTAACTGCTTATTCACTTTGAAAAACTTGCTGATAATTGTAGCAATTAAGTCCACGTGACTTGAAGGTTTCTTATAAAAAACTGGAAAAACTATTTGAAGTGACTTAATATGTTTAAGTATTCAACTTACAAACGTGTTTATAATGCCAGGAATGAAGTTGGCGGTAAATAAAAATGCATTCATTTCTAGCAGGAAAGCGAATGACCTCTATGCAATGTAGTTTGTTGCTTCCACTCATTTCACCAGACATTGTCGTCACTTAAAAAGCTCGACGCAAACTGTTGTGTTCATTTTTTTTTTTGAGAGCCAAAACATTAGTTTTTAGAGCGTACCGACCTCTGGATTATGTATGAAATAAGTTCACCAGAAGAGGTCCCAGGACAGAGCCTTGGGTACCCCACTTACCTCTCCAGACCAGTCTGGGTACACGCTACTTATGACCATCCCCAGAGTTTCCTCCCCCATTTACATCGGGGTCCCCCTGCTTACATCAGGGTCCCCAGAGCCCCCCCCCCCCCCCCTTTCTTCCATCATCAGGTCCACTCCCCAGGTTTGGAGGGGGAGCTCTGCCCCCTCCTCTAAATGCTGCGCTCTCCCAGCACATAGACTGATTCCAGGTCACCTGATTGCTGTGATGGCCTCTGATTGGCTATCACAGTGATCAGTCACTGTGAAGCCCACCCCCGTGTTTTCTCTCTCTGAAACATTTTATCTCTCTCTCCTTGCAGAGAGAAAATAAAAAAATAAAACACTGTGTAAAAATATTATTTAAAAAAAAAATAATGCATTTAAAAAAAAAAAAAAAACCTAAATCAAGGTTTGATCTAGGTCAGTGCCAGGGATTAGGGTTTGGGTCAAGGTCAGGGTCAGTCACTGTGAGGTCCGCCCCCGTGTTTTCTCTCTCTGAATGTGTAGGAGAGAGACATATTTTCACTCTCTCTCTCCTTGCAGAGAGAAAAAAAAACTGTGTAAAAAAATATTATTTAAAAAAAAAAAAAAAATTAAAAAAAACAAGCCTAGATCAAGGTTTGGTCTAGGTCAGTGCCAGGGTTAGTGTTTGGGTCAGAGTCAGTATTTTTTTTAGCACAATTTTTTTTTTTTTAAATCAGTATCAGTGTCAGTTAGTGTCAGTGTCAGTTAGTGTCGGTGTGTTTTTTGGTAGGATAAGAAAATCAGAATGCGCACTGTTGATTCTAGGCCAGTGATGGCGAACCTTTTTGAGCCCGAGTGCCCAAACTGCAACCCAAAACCAACTTATTTCTTTCAAAGTGCCAACACTGCAATGAAAAACTAAATATCGAGCTTTTGGTTTAGAAAAAAAAACTCGTACAGTAGTGCAAACTAATTAACAGCTTTTGTCTTATGCAATCTGAAAAAAACAAATAACAGCGTTTGCAGCTTTCAATTATTAAGGATGACTGACAGAGACTGCGGACACGTACAGGAGATGCGATTTGACCCGTGTGGACTGCGAAAGTACAGGAGATGACCAGAGTTTTCTGCAAAACAGTACAGGAGATGACCAAGACTGCGGACATTTCTGAGATGCCAGAGACTGCGGACAAAGGAAACCAGAACTGCAGTAAAAACTACAGGAGATGACCAGAGACTGCGGACATTTGTACAGGGATGACCAGAGACTGCTTATTACAGGAGATGACCAAGACTGCGGACACAGTACAGGAGATGACCAGAGACTGCGGACATTACAGGGATTATAGAGACTGTGGACACAGTACAGGAGATGACCAGAGACTTACAAATGAGTACAGATGACCATTCACTTAACATGACCAGGAATGACTGGCGGGACAGTACAGGGATGACCAGAGACTGCGGACACAGTACAGGAGATGACCTCTATGCAATGTAGTTTGTTGCTGCGACAGTCACAGGACCATGACCAGAAACTGCGGACAGTACAGTTGATGACCAGAGCCAAAACTTTGTTTTGACCAGAGCGACTGCCGACCTCTGGATTACAGGGAAAATACTTCACAGTAAGAGGAATGACAGAGCTGCGGACAGTACAGGGATGACCTCTCCAGACCAGTCTGGGTACACAGTACAGGAATGACCAGAGACTAAAGCACAGGGATGACCAGAGACTGCGGACAGTACAGATGACTGCTGATCTTTGGGGAGGGAGGGTCCACTCCCCCAGGTACCTGAATTTGACAGGTCCCGCTCTTACTTCCGCAGAGTTTTTTTTAATCTTACCTGTTCCTTTATCCAGCCGCGCGCTGTCTTCCCGGCTTCTGTAGTGTGGGTGCTCGTCGGACAGCCAGATGCCCAGTGCAGGATTGGCTAAAGTGAAACCGCTGCCTTTTTTCTCTCTCTGAAACATCTTTTCTCCCAGGTACCGCCTTACCATTCACAAAGAGAAAAAAAAACTGTACTTGGGAAAATTCACGCCCACACTAAAAGAAGCCGGGAAGACAGCGCGCCGCTGGATAGAGGGACATGTAAAAAAATCCCAGCAGAGCTGAGCAAGGCCCCCGGTATTCTGAGGTCACGGCGGGGTTAGTGTTTGGGTCCGAATCAGTATTTTTTTTAGGCACAATTATTTTTATTTAAGATCACTGACATTTTAGTCCCCCTTTTTTGGGGGAAAAAAAAGTGCGTCTTAGGTCGGTGCGTTTATTCTCCTGGCGTGCCCACAGGATAAGAAAATCGGCGTGCCGGCTGCGCACGCGTGCCACTGGGTTCGCCATGTTCTAGGCTGTACTATGGGTACAAACACAACTAACATACACATGTGGTATCGCTGCGATCGTCAGGAGCAGGAGAATTTATTTGGGTTGTTCTTTGGTGATAGGTTATGGCAGCAGCAGGAAATATACAGCTACATTTAAAAAAAAAAAGTATTATTTTGGGTCAGTTTTCCTTCCATAAAAATAAAAAAAAAATCAGGAGATATCCATTACCATTTACCATCAAATGAAAGCGCAAATTCTCCTGAAAAAATTGCTGTATAATCCACCTGGATGCACACAGTAGTAGTGATGATATGTACGGTTTCACTAACACATGTCAAAGTTGTAAAATTGTGCTTAGGCATTAACATTTGTTTTACCTTTTAGCTTAGGCTTGAAAGGCTCATTGAGCAAGCAGAAGCTAGAAGCTGATTGGCTCCCATGCACAGCTGCACCAGATTCTGAGTGCTCCAGTTTTTTTCATAACCCCCCCCCCCCCCCATGTGTTCCAGTGACACCTATCTAACCCCAGGTTCACACCTAAGCGTTTTCTGCAGAGTTTTGAAGAAACGCACAGCAGTCCATTTAACATGATTTCCTATGGGACAGGTTACATCTCTGCGTTTTCACCCCGGTGCGTTTTTTTGGAAAGGATCAGGGACATTTTTTAACACAAAACATTGCTTTTTTGGTTCTATAGACTTCAATGGGAACTCTGCAGAAAAGCATGTATTGCGTATTTGCTGCATTTTTGCTGTGTTTTGCATTTTAAATCTGCCTAGCAACAAGAAAAAAAAAAAAAAAAAAAACCAAAAAAATCATCAAAAACGTGGCAAAAACGCAAAACAAATGCAAAACGCAATGCAGAAACACATCAAACACAACCTGCATAGGTGTGACCCTAGACTAAGAGGGGGATTCCTCTGACCTCGGAGAGATTTCCTTGTGTCTCTGTGAACAGGAAATGAAAATATGTAAAAAAAAAAACTGAGCGAGGTTCTAACCCTTCCCTACTCTATCAAAACTAAAACAAAGGAAGGCTTTAGATACATTGTAACCAAAGCCTGAAAATGAACGCTTCAAAATACTAAACCGAACACTTCAAGGTTTTCAACAAAACTTTATTGAAACATGAAAGATGAAAGTTGGACAATAAAATGTACAATAAAATGTCGGCACACAATAATCAAATCCCAGAACATAAAATGGCACAAAAATAGAGACAAGATAAAATGCATAAAAGTGGAATCTAAAACCTTAAAATGCATGGAATATATAAAACAACACATATAAAAGGGTAAAATGACTTCTCAGTAGAATTCCACAGAGACAACCAACAGGTGGATTTTGCTTTTTTTTTTTACCACCCGATGCATTTTTTTTTTCTCTTGGCTGCATTAGTTTTCTTTTTTTAGGCTTTTTTTTTTCCCCTCTGTTTTCACCTGGTGATCTGGTCAGCAGGGCTGGGACAAGGGGTGGGGTAGGGGGGGGGGGGCTGCCCCCTGGGCACTGTGATATCATGTGAGGTGGGGGGGGGGGGGGCACCAAAAGAAGGTTGGGGGTGGGATTTGTGCAAGTAGGGGAATTTTTTTTTTTTTTTTGGGGGGGGATTTTTGGGGGGGGGGGGGGGATTTGTGCTAGGAGGGGGATGATTGGGGGGATTTGTGTTAGGATGGGGGATTGGGGAGAATTTTTGCTGGGAGGGGGGATTTAGAGTGGGGGGGGGGAGAGGATTTGTGCTCAGAAGTGAAATTTGAGGTGAGGGGGTAGAGGATTTGTACTAGGAGGGGGGAATTTTTTTTCAGGGGGGTGGATTTGTGCTGGGGGCATATGAGGAATGAGTGGATTTGAGCTGGGGGGGGGGGGGGGGGGGGGGATATTTGTGCTGGGAAGGGATTTCAGCAAGGAGCAGATTTGTACTGGGAGGAGGGGGAATGCTTAGGGGATAAGCAGGCAGATTAGTCCATTTTTTTTTGTGGGGGGGGGGGATTTTTGCTAACACATAATGCTCATACATCTTGGGGGGGGGGGGGGGGCACAATTCAGCATGTTCACCCTGGGCTCTAGATGATCTTGTCCCGGCACTGCTGGTCAGTAACACACCTCCTGTATTAGATCGCCCCCACTCTGGAGGAAGGAGCACAGGGGGCAGCTTTGGACAGCAGCATTACTGTCTGGGGGGAGGGGAGTGTTAAATGGACTAGCAGATTTAAATACACTAACAAATTGAAGCCAAACTCCAAGCAGTTACACCAAACATGCTTTCCCTTTTAGGATAAAGTTTTTACATAAATAAAAAGCTGAGTATTGTAATCACCCCTGTCATTGGCAGATGGTTTGTCTCATCCCTGTAACCGCTATATCTGGAAGAGAGCTTGTTCCTTTGAAAAACAACAGACATACTGGCAGGATCACCAGATAAAAATAGAGGAAAGAAAGCCTAAAAAATAAAACTAATGCAGCCGTCACATCTAAGAATTGGTAAGCTGCAATATAACAAATGTTTCCCTTTGGGTTTAATACGGCTTTGAGGTACAGAATGTCCTTCCCTTATAACCACTTTACAGAATAAAATATTTTCACCTTTCTAGATGACTTATTTATAACAGTGAATAACCATCCAGCATAATCTCTGCTGTTCAGCAGTCAGACGGGTAAAAGGGCCATAAAAAAACCTCATGATTAAATCTTCAAAGGGGTTGTAAACCCTTACCTATACCCAGTGCAGTGACTGGCCTCAGGAGATACACAGAGAGGAAACAAATCCTCCTACATAAGTTGTACCCTGTGTATCTGCAGCTCTTCTCTTCTCTACATCTGTTCAAAGTGCAGAATTTATACAGCTTGTTGTCCAAAAGTTCAGAAAACAGGGGGCGGGAGCTAAAGTTACATAACCCCCAACCATAGCATGCAAACCCCAACCTGAACCCCTAGACTGACCATACACTATACAATCTGTTTCGGATCTTCCAGCAACTACTGTATGTAATGCGAGGGTCTGCCTGGATACAATATGAGTGGATTGCTCATGTCCGGCTTTATATGACATACTTTTGGTAAATCTAAGGCTGACCACACTCTACACCACCAAATCTCCTTTAGCTTTACCAAAACTATCTCCTATGAAGACAAACTTAAACAATCCTCTGAGTGCCGGTTCACACATATGTGGATTGGATTGGTTTGAACCGCATCCAATCCGCATGACATGTGACATAACATTGCTTCCTATGGTGCCTGTCCACATAGGTCCGGTGCACTGGCACTGGCGGTGAGAAGGAGTCATGTGCGATTTCTGAGCAGTGCGGTCCGGTTCAGGTGCGGATTACAGGCTACTGACTTCTATGGGAACCGTTTGTAAACCGCACATGTGTGAACGGGATAAAATCCTGACCTGAACCTTTCCTGAACCTGATGTAAACCTGAACCTGATGTAAACCTCTGAACCGCTGAACAACTACTGTGCCAATTAGCTGTGAATCCTGAGCTTCAATCCGCACCGCACATGTGTGAATCAGCTCTTTATTGGGTCACATCAGGCAGACCCGTATACTACACAGCTGATGGGAGATCTAAAGGTTATTGTACAATCAGATTGTATAGTGTGTGGTCAGCCTAATGCTAAATAACCCCCCCCCCCCCAAATCTTGCCTTGTTGGGTGTGGAAGTGATGGAGGACACTCTCCTCGGCTGAGATCTACCAGATCTACCGATTGAAGAAATATATTATCTCTACAAAAACGGGTGTCATCCTATGAACCAGATTCACATTTCTCAGCAGATTTCACCAGATTCAGGTCAGATTTCCTGTCATATGATCATTTTACACGTCTCCTGACCCCCCCAGAGATCTTTACACGACCTTTTCTTACACATAACCCGGCATGGAGGGGCTCAGTGAAGGTGGTGGTGAAGGTGTGGAGGTGTCTGATGGGGTCACACAGATCATAAAAGGACAGCTGCCCGGCCTCATAATCCACATAGATCCTGACTCTATCAGGGGGGGTATCGGGAGATATGGGATTGGTTTATTATCATGTAATAGATAACACTCACTGTTATACTTCCACAAACCCCAGGACTTGTTATTACTTCCAATCCCTGACTGCCTCCTCCCCTCTCTATACTGGGATAACACATCCCGACTCTGCAATCTTCCTCCCTCACTGACATCCACTTCCCAGTAATGTCGCCCCGAGGAAAAACTCCGACTGCTTAATACCTGTTCCCAGAACTGAAATCTCTCTGGTGTTTCTGGACGATTCTGCTCTATATCTGACCAGGATGCAGTTTTCATGTCATCTGATATCTGTAGATTATTATGAGCTGTGTTCACATCCAGTAATAAGTCTGAAGCTTCCTGTATATTGAAGCATACATTTCCCCCTTTTATCATATCAGATATCCCTGTGTGTAATGTGTGTGAGATTCCAGCCACATCCAGATCCCCTCCATCATGGAGGAGTCTATCATGTCTCTCTCTGTCCTCATCATCTCCCTCCTCAGTATCACACAAGTCCCCTGTGTCTGATTCCTGGAGGACAGTCAGGGGGTCGGTCATGTTACACAGCTCCTCAATGTCCCCCATCTTCCTGGACAGATCCTTCTTCTTTATCTCCAGTTGATGGATCATCTCAGACAATGGACATGAAAGCCGCTCTTCCTGGCTGGCGATCTCCCTCAGGACTCTCTTCTCCAGGTCCTCCAGTTGTCTCCTGAGCTCTATGAACAGGGCAGTGACTCTCTCTGTTAGGATGAGAGAAGGAGAAGAAGCGCCTCTAAGTGCAGCATAACACTTTAATGAAGATGAGAAGTAGGAACCCTCCCATGTATGAGGTACAAGTAATGCATGAAATAAAGTGGTGTGGTGTAACATGGGACAGGAGGGGGTTGTCATCGGTGTCACTGAGCTGTCATCGGTAACAATGTGTCAGCGTTCCGCTGGAGCAGCGTGGTGGCTGGAGGGGGACAGCTGTGGAGCCGGCCGGCGTGCACGTCCTCCTCAAAGCCGGGGGGAACGCACGCTGGAACGCAGCGATGACGTGGGCGTGATGACGTCAGTTACCCAAGGTGCACTGCGACGCGTTTCAGAGCATGCGCTGGCCTGGAGAGGCGGAAGTGCGCTCCTTTATCAAGCCGGGGGAAGTGGGAGTCCGATAGTTGTATATATACGGAGTTAATCCTCAGAGGGGCTGATTGGCAATTAATTACCAATTGTTTCAGCAATAATGTGATTCTACCATTGTTGTAAGGTGACACTGTGTGGTTAAAAGAGTACGGGAAGAGAATTAAAATTGTAAATGGATGAAAAAATAAGAAGTTATTAATAATAAAAATAAAATGGTATGGGAAAAAATGAAACAGGAAAATGGAAAACAGAGGCAATGAAAAGAAAAGAAAAAGGAAAAAAGACATTTGGTTATCAATATTTATAAAATGTGAATAAAAAAAATAAGTAAATAAATAAAAATAAAATAAATTGAATGAAAAATAAAGAAATAATAAAAATTAATTAAATTAAAAAAATAAGAATTAAAATTAAAATATATATATAAAATTAGATATTATTATTATTATACAGGATTTATATAGCGCCAACGGTTTGCTCAGCGCTTTACATTATAGTGGAACAAACAAGAGATCCCTGTGCTCAAATCCCAACAGCTAGTGCATACATTTATCCATCAGGTGCTAAAGGGGTGTAACCACATAATAACACTAGACATTCTGAGGCCCCTCTGCACTCTGGTATATTCCCTTCCAAGCAGACTATGCAATAAACAGGGATATTTAGTTCACACATATTGCAATACATGCTTAGGGCCTCAGAATGTCTAGTGTTGTTATGTGGTTACACCCCCTTTAGCACCTGATGGATAAATGTATGCACTAGCTCTTGGGATTTGAGCTCAGGGATCTCTTGTTTGTTGTATTGTTGGGTCAGTAGCCAGACCTGAACCTTGTAGCTCTCCCCATTGTGTCTTTTCCCCTATGTTAGCATTGTGTCCACAGTAGTATTTGCGCAGGCAGAGCAGAGTAGGACCGGCCATAGAGGGATGACTTTGACGCAGTTGGCAGCTTAAGCATGTATTGCAATATGTGTGAACTAAATATCCCTATTTATTGCATAGTCTGCCTGAAATACCAGTGTGCAGAGGGTCCTTCAGAATTTCTTACATTATAGTGGGAGACAATACAGTAACAATACAGTTCAATGCAAGAGGGATTTGAGGGCCCTGCTCCTTGGAGCTTACATCTAGGAGGGAGGGGTGAATGGTACAGTAGGTAGTCACTGTGGGTGATGGAGTGGTTGGAAGAGTAGAGGGTTCCAGAATTAGCAGAAGGCAGGATAGACTTCCCTGAAGAGAGGTTTTCAGTGATCGCCTAAAGACAGGTAGAGTAGGTGATAGTCTGATAGATTGGGGTAGGGAGTTCCAGAGGATGGGTGACGCCCTGGAGAAGTCTTGGAGATGAGCGTGGGAGGATGAGATAAGGGAGCTAGAGAGTAGGAGGTCTTGCGAAGAGCGGAGTGTACGGTTTGGGTGATATTTAGAGATAAGATCGGATATGTAAATTGGGGCAGTGTTGTGGATTTATATGTCATTGTTAGAGTTTTGAATTTTATCCATTGGGCAACTGGGAGCCAATGGAGGGATTGGCGGAGTGGGGGTGGTATGTAAGCCATGTACCGGGGTGGGCTCCCCAGGATACAGTGAAGTCACGAATGAGGAAAGCAACCCCAACACCAGTTTTTGCCACAACAGAACTTTACTTAGATGTGGCAAATAAACAAAACCACAAATGCTGGAATATACAATAAATTTACATACACCCAGCCCAAAGGCTGAGACCCTTGTGCTGCACAGCACGGCGCCTCCTGATGGATGAAGGTAGACAGTGTAGTAATTTACCTACTGGGGGGCACAACTAAGCTGCCACACCTTACCTGTTATTACCCTAAAAGAGCAGGAATCAGTGTATGGGGGTACGGTATGGGCTAGCCTGCGGTGCAGCACAACAGCTTACAATCTTACACAAATCTACAGTATTCCCCCTCCCATAACTGGTCCTGTAGCACGTGCCTGAGTATTCCTTCTGAGCAAGACGCCAGTCTGGCTTGAGTTTGTAGGATTTTATCAGTTCTCTAATGTGAAATGTCACTTTAAGTTGTGGAGTCCTTCCAATGATCAGTAATAACACTTGTGGCCTGACACAAACAGAGACCCTAACTAACTATAGGCCTGTCTCAGTCTTATAGGCGCCAACACTGAAATGAGGTGCGTGCACGATCTTACCGACCCGGGTCTGCTTTGCATACGCTGGTGACTCTGAACAGAACACGGTCTCTCCACTGAGCATGCAATATTATCAGCAATGTATGTTGCTCAGCTCCTCTGTCCTCATCAGCTTCCTGGCAGAAAATCTTCCCCTCTTTAAACAGGATTAGCGTCTTGAACACCATCAGCTTCACTCAATGAGATTTCTGATTACGGAAGGCATTCTTCACAGCTCGATGGCAACGGATTAACCTATCGCTCAGCCTTCTTCTCTCTCTCTCCAGTATTGCTTCCCTTTTCTCTTCCTGTTCTCTCTCCTTGAGAAAACCCCACCCCTTATAGAATATAGAAACAGCTATGCAGTCTGAGGCTGTGTTAGAAACAGTGACATCTTGTGGCCAAACTGCATAATGTCAGTCAGGACGGTCTCTAATTTACTTCACACAGTATTCAAACAATGAGAGCTGTTTCCCATCTTACAGGCAGATACAGAGCGGTTAGTGAGGTGGATGAGTCTGGCAGCTGCGTTCATGATAGACTGGAGGGGGGATAGCCTGCGATGAGGTCGGCCAATGAGGAGGGAGTTACAATAGTGGAGGTGTGATACAACAAGGGAGTGGATAAGTTTTTTTTTGGAGGCTTGCCTTTCATGCCAGCTGCTTCTCTATTTCGCTTTTAAAGTCCAGCGCTCGTTATACTCTTTTTTTCTATTTATACGGAGTGGATAAGTTGCTTAGTGGTTTCCGAGGTTAGGAACGGTCGTATCTTGGAGATGTTGCGGAGGTGAAGTCTACATGATTTTGTCAGCGATTGGATCTGGGGCTGGAAGGACAGATGGGAGTCTAGGATTACACCTAGTACCCTGGCATGAGGGGATGGACTGAGGATGGTGTTAGCGATATTTATGGTGAAGTCAGTGGGGGTGGCGGGGGCTGGGGGGAATACTAGGAGCTCAGTTTTGGAAAGGTTGAGTTTGAGGAAGTGGAGTGACATCCATGCCGATATGTCGCTTAGTAGGCTAGCAATGTGGGTGGAGACTGAAGGGGTGAGGTGAGGGGTAGACAGATAGATTTGTGTGTCATCAGCATAGAGATAGTAGTTGAAGCCATGGGAGTTTATCAAGTGACCAAGGGAGGAGGTGTAGATGGAGAAGAGAAGGGGTCCAAGGACAGAACCTTGGGGGACCCCTACAGAGAGAGGGAGTGAGGAGGAGGTGGCAGTGTTATAAGTAACACTGAAGGAGCGCTGTGAAAGATAGGAGGAGAACAAGGAGAGAGCAGAGTTGCTGAGGCCAAAAGAGTGTAGTTTTTTGAGGAGGGGGGATGGTCAACCGTGTCAAAAGCCGCGGAGAGGTCGAGTAGTAGGAGTATTAATTAGTGGCCGTTGGTTTTTGCAGTTAGTAGGTCATTAGAGAGCTTAGTAGGGCAGTTTTGGTGGAGTGTAGGGGGTGAAAGCCAGACTGTAAAGGGTCGAGAAGGTTGTTGTCGGTGAGGTGGGAGCTCAGACGATTGTAGACTAAGTGTTCTAGGAGTTTAGAGGTAAATGGCAGCAGCAGGGAGATGGGTCTTAGGTTGTTCAGGTTGATGGGGTCCAGGGAGGGCTTTTTAAGTATGGGAGTGATGTGCGCATGCTTTAGAGGGGAGGGAAAGGCACCTGTAGAGAGGGAGAGATTGAAGATGTGAGTGAGGGAGCAAAAAATGGAAGAGGAGGGTGACCAAGGAGTTGTGAGGGGACAGGGTCCAGGGAGCAGGTGTTAGGTGGGCGTCTGAGAAGACCTTAAGGACCTCTTCGGTGGTTAGCGAGGTCAAAGGAGGAAAGTGTTGAGGGAGGTATGGTATGAGGAATGCTAAGTGGGGTGAGTGTCTGTGTAGTGGCGATGTCCCACACAATGGTGTATGCTTGGTGAGATGGCTCATAAATTTAGCTAGTGGCATAGGATGTGAAGATCACCTAGCAACAGTGGTATATAAAATAATTAGGTGAGCAAAAAATGCAGTATAACCCATGGTAATGGTAATGA